TTAAAAATCTGTCATACAAAGATTGATGTCACAGTAGGGAAACCTGTAATATTTGGAATGGGACATCATACTGTCGTTTATCATCAGATGATGTTATTAGTCTTTACGATCAATCAAACATCAAAAACAAGAGAGTTCTTTTCACATTTCTTTGGTTTTCTAATAATATATTAACGTGGTAACTTTGAATCGCCACGAATAAAATACATGATAGACTTTTAAAGGGACAGATACGCCACCCGTTTGACCAATACGTACCTTAGTCTTAGAAATATGATTTTCCTTTAGCTAAGCTAATCAGTAATAGTGATCACAGCGAACACGTCGAAATGTGAGCCTTCAAATCCATGTGTACATGGTCAAAATTATCCGGGTTTGAAATTTAAAATGATGACTCGTCTATTCTTTTCATATAGAAATGGTCACAGAAGTGTCAATTGTCACTTGTGAATCTGATGATCTGTGTCCCCGGTTTAATCCTGTTTAATAAACAGAGCATCTGGTTACGTCTTCGTATCCCATATACGGGTTGTACAAAGTCTTAGTAATCTGAAAGCAGTATGACGAATGGGGGCGTGGTTTGGCCACGATGGTAAGGTATCAAGATGTGTTGGTGTGAATGGTGCTTGAATACAAAGATTTGAACCCAATGTCCCTTTGTCAAATGAAAGAAAAAAAATTAAACAGTGTCTAATTACCGTGACAAACGTAGAAATATTAAATAATTAATTAACTAAAATATGATGAAAGAAATCATTACAGACATCAGAAAGGTGAACGGTTCTCGACCAGCCCGAAAAGTCATAAGATGGCTTTTGAAAATAAAATTCTGATGTGATTTTGGGGAGGGGGCTGGTGGAGGAAGTGGGAGGCATACCTCCTCCCGTAAAAACACCACTCCTTGTAACCGGTTAGAATAAATATAATATGCAGTCCGTGCTATTTTTAGAAATCCTCTTTCTCCTTCCCTTTTGGGGTTTATGCAAGCTAAAACAAGTGTTTACAATATGACATCATCATTTACTGGTCACATGTGGTCTATAGACCAATTAGAAAGTACATTTATGACTCAGTATCACAGCGTTGTATATAGCCTTATAAACTGTAAATATTGTTCATATAGTCAATATACGTTTATCATTATCAAATTCAATACAGAACCTTTAAACACCTTAAAACACATCTATACATTATACTAGAAGTATATTAGAATATTCTTACTTCTGTCGAGAGACATAGAACAAATTCCAAGACCCTCAAAACCGTCTCCCATTCTAAATGTAAGAAGTCTACGCAAACGAATTACCACAGACCCAATAGCTCTCGATATTATCAAAGCTGAATACTCGGAGAACTTTGATTTTATTCTTTTAACCGAAACTTGGCTTGACAAAAACATTTCTTCAGGTGTAAAAACATTTATATTAATTTCCGATGATTTCAATATAGATAGTAATAACTGAGACGCCCGACACA